CCATCTCTACTTCTCAAAAGGTGTTGAAAATGTGTCATTAAACAATAGTTCCCAGTGCCTAAATGCGCCTAACAAAACCATTTTTGCCAAGTTACGACAATTCTAAAAAACTATCAAAAATTTCACTGAATTATGTACCTACAAAAGCTTTTTGAATTTCATTCTTATAATACGCTTTAATATTGTAAAGTTAATCAATGCTGTCTGTGGGAATTTCTCTCCATCTCTGAATCCTCTTCTAAGTGGCACTAAAGTATTCTGCTTGGTTATTTGTTAAACCAGTAAAGGGATTGTATAATCTGTTATGCTTGCAGCAAAAATTGCCAAATGTCTTAGGGACCTATTATAGTTATGATTATAGAACAGTGCAGTTACTTATAATTCATAGCTTACTTCAGGGTGAATCTCCTTCATGTAATGTTCAATAAATGCCCTACGCCACATACAGCGCAACTCCTACAACTTACTCTTATATGATTAAATATCATTTTCATTGAATATTTCATGAAAATGGCTAACGTATACTGGTATCTCTTTTGGTGAAGCATCAGGTTTTGGTAGCCATGCCTTAATGGCATTTATCACATGGTTTCAGCATTTAAGTGCAACAATGTTAGTCTAATGTTTTTCAATAGCCTTGTATAGCATATAAAAATTTATACTAAAATTAATAGCATTATGCTGGTTTCAATATTTACATACCTTCTTCAATCCAACTTCATTATCCCTAACAATATAAAAAAACCCTATTATTTCCGTTTAATAAAGGAGGAAATATAGTTGTCAAATACATCACCTCTTTCTCATGCATCGATTGAAGCTTTCTCTTATAATTTAGAAAAGCAGCAGAGAATGCACACAGATATTTCGATTAAAAGAAATGTGTTCAAGCATATAAGTCTCCCAACTAAAATTTTGTGTCATATGAAAGAAGCTGTGGGTTGCTGGACTTCATCTGCGAAACATTATTCATTTCTCTTGCCATGGTATCTAAACCACAAACAACTACTAAATCGGAAATGTTTCACAAAGCCATTGAGATCTTAGGCCAGTTTAAGCGTGATACAGAGCTTCATGACTCAATTGATATTTCTATTTTTCTTTACATTGGAGATTAGTGATCTGACGAGAAATACATGGTTCCACTTCAAGCTTTTTACATGTAGATACAGCTTCCTTATAAGTATTACTAGGAAGATCAGTATAAGTAGAAAGCTTACGCAGTACAGAGGGAGGTGTTCTTGAAAATAAATTAGTCCTTGAAATGAAGGTCTCATCCAGAAGGTAATACCATGGAGTAGTGCATTGTTTTATAGGCCGGATTACTGTTTGTAATCAACTGGGTTCCATTTTCATAGCATTGGTATCCATCTACTTTCGAATCATCTACAGAATGAAAATAAATATTAGTAACATGTTATATTTCTGTAATAGCTTCATGGATGATAAATTTATTTTAATGCTATCCCAGGCTAAGGGTTTAAACACAATTCAAACAATAATTATTATTACAAAAATATTGTGAAAAAAGAAATACATAATGCTTCAGTATTGTGATCTTATAGCTACGTTTAAATCCACAGATGCCTTTCTTCACCAGAGGCTGCCTCACATGGAAAAACAATTCTCCTTTGGGATTTTCTGAAGGAAAGAAGGGGAAAGTGTAGAGCTGGCATTGTTAAGAAATTGCAGAACAGCCTCAGTACTAACCTCCTTGGAATAACGAAGAGCAATAAGGTTTATTAGCGGTAGCGTTACAAAGCAGGATTCATCCCACTACAAAATGGCTGCCACAACTTTTGCTGCTTTGCTATACCAGAAAAACGAGCTCCTATGCGTACCAGACTTCCTAGAGGACTTTATTTTAACCGGTGACTCCATTGGTACCACTAGTGTGACTTTAAATCTTATTTGAGATGAAATTCAATAATGGGGAAATGGCAATTTTGTTCAGCCACCTTTTTTCATCTTTATGATCATCAAAAGAGTTATTCCTGTCAATCCAATTGTTGGTTGATATCTCCATCTCCCCTGGTATAGAAGGCTAATTCTTACACCATTCCACTTCAACAAGGTAAGAGCCGGTCTTTATCCCCTAGAATCATTTTCTAAGAAAGAAGAAGTAATACTATGACTGTTGGATTGTACCAGCTTACCTCATGCTGTGATTTTTGTTAGTTAATTATAGAAGAATGTGCTCCAAATTTTAGGTGTGGCTGCACATGCTCAGATCTCAGAACTGGCAAAGCAAGCAATTTTTTCAACTAGCTTTGGCTAGGCTAGTTATTCTTGGCATATTATTCTTTATCAAGTGTGTAATGAATTATTCAAAATACCGTAGGTCTGGATATATTCACGGCTGCAATTATTTGCGTTCATCAGAAAAATCAATTAAAAACCATGGAAACACACATAAACCTAGATGCGGTTTAATTGAAAACAGCGCGATATTGAAGTAAAGCTCCAGGCTACAGTGCTCTTGAGTTCTTCTTATTCTTCTTGTTAATAATACTTGGTCTCTTTGAAGCTATTTTAACCAGTTCTTTTCAGAACTACATTCTCTGGAACTCTCCGCCTGTTTATCTAGTTATAACATTTCAAGAAATTAGATGTGGTCAGTTATCATGTCTACTGAAAGAGCTCCAGGACCATACAAGAAGCTCACAGATAGTGAGCATGCTGCTATTGGCAAATTTGCTATTCAGAATGGCCCTGCTAAAGCTGCCAAAAATTATATGGTTAGTGAAAGCACTGTGAGGGGCATCAAGAGGAAATATAGTGAAGCATTACTGCAGGCCGCTTGTGAGACTGAAGAGGAAGACCGCACAGTGCACAGTGACATCACTACCAAAGGGAAAGCCAGGCAAGCCCTTAATCCTTGGGGAAAACATGGACAGTAAAGTTCAGGACTTCATCAGGACGCAAAGAAGCAGTGGAGCAGTTGTGTCAAGATCAACTGTCATTGCCATTGGTAAAGGCGTGGTAATGAAACACAACAAATTCTATCTCAAGGAATTTGGAGGCCACATTGATCTTACAAAACACTGGGCAGAATCAATTCTGCATAGGATGAAGTTCGTTAAACGAAGAGGCTCAACAAAAGTCCAAGTTCTTGGTGACGCTTTTGAACATATTAAGCGAAATTTCCTTTCCGATATAAAGACGACAGTGGTAATGGAGGATATTCCTAGTCAATTGATCATTAATTGGGACCAGACAGGAATATCTCTTGTGCCTGGATCATCCTGGACTATGGCTCCACCTGGTTCGAGACGAGTTGAAATTGTTGGAATGGGTGATAAGAGACAAATCACCGCTGTATTCGCGTCATGCGGTGGAGGTTTATTACAGCCCCAATTAATTTATGCTGGAAAAACTCCAGCTTGTCACCCAAACGGTGTCACTTTCCCCACGGACTGGCACATTACCCACACTGAAAACCACTGGGCAAATGAAAGCACAATGAAGGACTACATCACTAAAGTCATTGTGCCAGACATTGAGAAGATTAGGTCCCAATTTCCTCAGAGCCATGTATCATCTCCTCAGCCAGCCTTGGTCATGTTTGACGTATTTAAAAGTCAGATGTGCCAGTCTACCATTGACCTTTTAATGCAAAAAAACATCCATTTCGTACACGTGCCACCAAATTGTACCGATACGCTACAGCCATTGCACATATTGGTGAACAAACACTCATAACCCTAGCCCTACATTAGACCTAAGGCTTTCTACAATGAAGCCTCCTGGAGCACAATGGCTTAAGTTGTTTTATGACTACATGCAAGCCAATCCCGATATAATTAAGAATGGGTTCAGATCAGCAGGGATAACAGATGTGTGTTATGTGATTATACATGTACAAGCATACAAATCTGTACATGTACTTGATCATGTTGTGTCTTCTGGGATAGTCAAGAGATATTATAGCAGACAATTAAACCTCAAAAGTTTTGTGGTAGATGTATGATTATAAAACTCTTGACTCTATTTATAATAATGGAATGGAGATTGGGGATGGAAGGTGGGCCCAGAAGTAAAATCTCACTCATTTTGGAGATTGCTATATAATAGCATATAAATTTAATGTGTTTATGTACTGTATACATGTAATTATTATGTGTTTATAATATGTGTTAGCTTGTTATATGTGATGGGATTGTATTACATGTTTGTATGAATGTCTTAGACTACATGTGTGTGCAATGTATGTTCATGTATTCCCCTCTGTCTCTGAATAAATCACACTCTTTGAAGTGATGATAAAAGATCAATATTAATCACGCTCTTCGGAATGATGATAAAAGATCAATATTAATTACGCTCTTTGGAGTAATGATAAAAGATCAATATTAATCACGCTCTTTGGAGTGATGATAGATCAACTTATTTTGCGTATTAAGTTTTATATGTACATGTATGATGTGTTTGAGTTGTAGTGTATAGCTAGAAAATTTTAAGTCTTGAAGGCTTTTAACAATTATGCATGCTGCTGCTGCTAAATTTTTGGCAATGGACCTCAATTTGACATGCCTTTGTAAAATAAGCATATTGCCCACAGCTTTGTTAGCCAGTAAGGACAATCTATTCTACCAAATTCACCAAAATTGACTCCAAATTTTCTAGTTATACTGTTAAACTAATTTTTTTGTTTAATAAACAATAATAATGTCATTAAAAATAATTATACTATTGTACAGAACTAAAAATATGGCTCAAAATAATTATGGCTCAAAAATATGGTTTAAAATAATGATTATAATAACATACATGTACATTAGTAATAAATAAAATGAATAGGCCTATTTTTAACTTAATATTGATATCTGTAATTGCGTCTACGATTATTTATAATAGAACTAAGTATTTGGAGTAGCAGTTCCAAATCAGTAACCGTGGTGTCTCCTCTCCATTGGCCACGTTGGCTCCAAAATCTCCTACCTCTTCCACTCCACCTTCCACCACCACGACCTAGTCCTCGTCCACCTCCCCTGCCTTGTCTACCTCCCCTGCTTCCTCCTCTTCCACCTCCCCCGCTTCCTCCTCCCGTTTTCTCCTCTTCCACCTCCCCTGTTTTCTCCTCTTCCACCTCCTCTGTTTTCTCCTCTTCCACCTCCCCTGTTTTCTCCTCTTCCATCTCCCCTACCTTGTCCAACTCCCCTGCCTCTTCCCCGTCCTCGGTGTGGCTCTACAGCTCCTCCATAAACATTATCTTGGTCTGCACCAGATTCGCCCCCACCTACATCATTGACTTCACCTCCTTTTCCTGCATCTCCACCACCCCGGGTAGGAGTACCACCTTGACCACGAGGAGCAGGTGGCTGTGGCAAATTGGCAGAATTGCCATCTCTTTGTGGAGAATCCTCCATCTCATCCTGTACAAGTAAAGAAATGTAACTTAAGAAGTGAGCTTAAAAGGAAATACTTCCATCCAAAAGGAGATCTATCTGTCTTTCCCCCAAACTTTCAGCCATTTTTATTAAAATTGTACTAATCTAATGGCGCCAAAAGTAAAACATTATTATTAATTGATTATCATTATTACAAGACTTAAAAGTACACCGTTACTATGAAGAGCAATAGACAGGAGAACTAAGTAGCAGAAGATTGGAGAGCAAAACCGTGTTTAGGGACAGTCCTGACACTCAAAAATACAATTAATAAAGAAGTAGTAATTGTTTATTATTATATAATTAAAATAATTATTTTATCAAATGAAATTATATATATATATATATACAATGATTGTGTAGATTTAACAAATAATATTAATTTAATTATGTTTGTATGTGTATAATTGATATACATAATGTCAATGTCATCACTCCGAAGAGCGAGATTCTATTGATTTTTTATCATCACTCCGAAGAGAGAGATTCTATTGATCTTTTATCATCACTCCGAAGAGCGAGATTCTATTGATCTTTTATCATCACTCCGAAGAGCGTGATTAATATTGATCGTTTATCATCACTCCGAAGAGCGTGATTAATATTGATCTTTTATCATCACTCCGAAGAGCGAGATTCTATTGATCTTTTATCATCACTCCGAAGAGCGTGATTAATATTGATCTTTTATCATCACTCCAAATAGCGAGATTCTATTAATCTTTTATCATCACTCCGAAGAGTGAGATTCTATTGATTTTTATCATCACTCCAAAGAGCGTAATTAATATTGATCTTTTATCATCACTCCGAAGAGCGAGATTCTAATAATCTTTTATCATCACTCCGAAGAGCGAGATTCTATTGATCTTTTATCATCACTCCAAAGAGCGTGATTAATATTGATCTTTTATCATCACTCTGAAGAGCGAGATTCTATTGATCTATTATCATCACTCCGAAGAGCGAGAATCTATTGATCTTTTATCATCACTTTGATGAGCGAGATTCTATTGATCTTTTATCATCACTCCGAAGAGCGTGATTAATATTGATCTTTTATTATCACTCCGAAGAGTGAGATTAATATTGATCTTTTATCATCACTTCAAAGAGCGAGATTCTATTGACTGTGTCTCTTCCTCTTTGCTTATATCGGCTTTTTCTTCAGAATTAGTACTGCATATAACATCCTTTTTACTGCATACACTTACTTTGTCCCTCTCAATATCATCATCATCATGTAACTGAAACTCTTCATCACTTTTCTCATGTAGTACATCATCAAGTCCATCTTCAATGTCATCTTCCTCTTACAATAAAGTCTGACTTCCTCAGCCAATTACTTAGCCATGCTACAAGGAGAATTAATAGTGTTTTTAGCTAAAATTGTTTTCTTTTCGATAATAATGTCAAATAATCACATTGTACACCTAAAGAAACTGGTTGAAACTGTTTTAGGATACAAGGACAAGATTTGCTCTGGTAAGCTTAGCTATGATAGTGTCTTTCACAAGATTGATAGACAGTTGATATGCAATACAGATACCCGTGCATATGGCAAGCCAATTGTAACAAAATTATGGATGCTTATGTCACATCCTAACTTACCATGTCACATCGCATCTTATTATGTCACATTCTAGCTTACAAAGTTACATCTAAAATTAACAGTCACAAGCTTGTCATGTGATTTAGCACGTGACTATTAATGCTATTGCAATGTCACATCTTTAAGCTTTCAGAATGATCATGTGATCTATTAGGAGTGTCTCAGTCTGTTCAAGAATAATTTAACAAAGGAGTGTTTTGGATGATCAGCTTTTTTGGCTTAAGTAGCTAGAAAATGACATTTGTTCATGTCAGCCACAAATTGAAATGGCTAACAAAGGGAATGTGGATTGCACAATGCAAAAACTTCGGTTTGATGAAACTTTGGTTACGAATTAAGAGATGTTTTGCAGCGGCAGATACAATGTTGATCCACAATATTATGAATGTGTAATATTCATGTACACTGTATAAATAATATTACCTTATAATTTCGGATAAGTACCATTAGTTCACTATGTAATTGTAATGATTGTTTTGAGGATTTTCTCCATTTCAACTTCTAGTTACTGGAAGCATGCTACATGAATATATTCACTTCGGTCTTCTCTGATATACACTGTAGAATGGGCAGTCATGTTGAAATACCTCAAGCAAGACTAAATATATAGAAAAAGGTTTTCCAGGAATTTTTAGAGTAATGATGGTATTTATAAAAAAAAGCACAACATTTTTGAACATAACTTTACAATAATTTTAATGTCGCACATTAATAAGAACAACCAAAGTTAAGAGAACTCAAGTGATTATTATACAACTCTAATGGTTATGAGTCATTAAAAAATTAATGAAACTCATTAAAATGCATCAAATATAAACTTTCATTTGACATCACCAATCAAAATTTTTTAGTCAATTGAAATAAGTTGTAGAGCCACTGTACAAAGACACTGCTTGGCATTGTGTGCATATGCTCCTCTTTGCTAAATTTGCATCCCAATACGACAGTAGCCATATAATGCAGGATTGCCGAGTACTTATTAGGTCTAAATACTTTCTCACAACAACTTCTTCCTCAAGCTCTGTTCCTAGTTGAATTGCAATTTTGAGGACTTCTAGAATTTGCTTCATGTTTTCAAGATCAAGTTCAAGCTTCAGTGTTATACAATCCACAAAGCCTGTTAGCTATTCCAATTTGAGACTGACATGAACTAAAGACATTTTCAAGCTCTTCAAAAAAAGTTGTTTATCCGATGTTTTGCATTGGTAATTCTGTCTGGAGGCATAGATATTAGAGTAAATGAAAGGGATTGGAAACAGGGCATAGCAACAGGAAAGTGCGAGTTGATAGTTACTCATATAATCTAATATCTATACTGGAGGCTGCAGCAGGGCAGACATGCCTATTGGATGACGTGATCATCATGCAAGCTTAAGAATGTGACATTGTAAGAGCATTACTAGTCACTGTGCTAAATCACATGACAAGCTCGTGACTGTTTATACAAGATGTAACATTGTAAGATAGGATGTGACATAGTAAGCTTAGGATGTGACATAAAAAGCATCCACAATTTGTGACCATAATTAACAAAAGGTACCTTATGGCAGGTAGTGAAATTTGATATTATAGCCAAAAAATCCAACTTCCTGAGCTTCATTTATTATAAATTTACTCCAAAGGATGCAAAAAGTTCCTATGTAACTTTTAGAAACAATTCTAGTTCAACAAGGGATGCACATGATATTTTTCATTTTAATGATGAATTTTAAAATCTGCCATAAGGTACCTTTTGTCACTTATGGTCACATTTCGTTACAAATGCCATGCCATACGTGCGAGCAACAATACAAGCATTCCTATGCCTTAGCATTTCAAAGCAATTGATTTATGATGCATATATGTGTCTATGGTCCGTAAAGTTTTAAGCGTCACTTTATACAAAATACACAAAAATGAGCACCACTTAAAGTTTCTATGAAACTTAGCTGATATGTTCACTACATTACGTTTTCTTATCAGTTGTATTTTGGTATCAGAAATTAGTATAGCTTCCATGTTACAGTATCATTACTTATCACTTTTCCAATGTCTAAAATTATAACTGCATATCTTTTTGTAGTAAGGTAGCAATAATCATACCCTACAACAGTCAAATGAACTGCTTTTCACATATTTTTTGTGGGTGTGGTCAAAAATGATTAGGTCTAAGGTCATTAATCAAATTTATGTTTCATTATAAGTCAAAACAACACATTTTGTAGTAATAAGTTCTTTCTTAATAAACGCAGATGTATATGCTAGAATCAATGTAAATTTTATGTTGGGACCACTATGTACCTTAAAAACATTAATTACTTCATTTACTCCTTAGCACAGTCATGCATGGGAGGAACAATTTCTTGCTTTTATGTTGTGGTTTGCACTTCATTACAATACTATATTGTTATAGGGTTTTATGTTGTGAAACAAAATTTCAAAAATGTTACTGTTCATAAAGTTTCACAGCTTGTTAGTTGCACAATTTTTTTGTTAGTTTGTATTTATGTCCTGTGGTTATTCTTGGGTCCACTTCAGTTAAAATGCCACTTCAAGGACATCAGAAACATTTGGTTACTGGTATGAATGTGCTGGACCTTCTGGTTGTAATAAGGTAACTTCGACTTCAGAATTCTCCACATCTTTTTTAAGAACATACGCCAACCACCATTTCTATTGTATACGCATCACGTAGTGAAAATAGTCTCTAAATCCATGTCACTCCTTTGTATCCTGACCTTTTCTCCTTTGAAAGTTGTTACCGTATTTCCTCGAGTAAAAGCCGCCCCCGAGTAGCTGCCTCCCTCGAATAGACGCCTCCTGGGGCCATGGTAGTCAAAGAAATTACCGCCGCCTTCAAATAGACGCCGCATATAATACTATTCATTATTATTATTAATAACCAAGTATTTAATTAACTAGTAAAATGGCCGTCTAGTCACAGTTGAGTCTTAGTCGAGTAGTTCCTTCATCCTATCGATTAGTTTTTTTCTTTCCAGGAAAGGTATAGATACATGGTACTTCTAGGACCTTTCCAAATTCCCTTTTCCCATTAACATGAGCTTCTATTTGACCTCACGAAGCAAGAAATATGATGCAACTCGCGAAAACTCCCTAGGAAGGAGAAGAACATGTAGCTCATAATGCAAAGACACTGGGGAACATCTAAACTCCTACAGCCTGAGGTAGAACATGAGAGTGATCTTTCTCCAGACCTGGAACTGGAAGTAGTAGAGTAGTAATAATTGACATGATGAAGATTGAATTATTTTGTTTAGAAGGAGTATTAATGGTAAAATAATTAATAATTAATTTAAAATTAATGACAATTAATAATAATCGCCGCCCTCGAACAATGGCCGCCCTCGTATAGTCGCCTCCCTCCAACAGATGGAAAAATGAAATAGACGCCGCGGCTTTTACTCGAGGAAATACGGTAATCTTGAAAACTTTTGTACTAGAATAGTGTCAAAAAATACTGGAATGAAAGGGTGATATTGATGTGTTTCAGGTATGGTTCTGGAATTATGAAACCAAGTTTCCATTTCGTCTTTTACTTGAAAATACTCAGTACAGGTGCAATACGAGAAGTTTGTTACTTTCAAAGTAGTACAAGCCCAATCATATAGTTGTAGAAGAGTCATAATTTGTTGTTCATTAGGTCTTTGAAGGTTAACCCAGGCTGCTAGGTGTTTTACCATACCTCCCCGAACCATCACATACTCCTTTGCCATGAAAGTAGCACTTAAATGGCTTTCAACTTTAAGGTACAACGGGCTGAATGCACAATTTAGTTTTCGGAACACAAATTGTTTTCTTTATACTTTTTCTATAATATATAATTTTTTCAATTTTTTCTCAATAGGGAGATGCAAAAAGCTTGACTAAACTTTTTAAAATGGTTGAAAACTGAGTAAAGAATTCTTGAACATAATGAGAGTACTGTAATTTGTAGTAATATGATTGTTTAATAATATTATTTTCTATTGACGTATGTTCCATCACTTCGCAAAAGTTCTTTAAGTTTTGCAAAATGGGCTGCAATCTCTGAGTTTTGTTCACTTTCAAACATCAGTGTATCAAAGCATTTACAGCATACAAACTTGATTGAGTGTTTGCCTTCATTATGCCACGATTGCAAGCTTTACAGCTTCGTAGAGCCTGCATTCACCAGATGAAATAGCTAAATAAACAATAGTCAGGAAGTACATACTGGTGGCCATTTTTAATAATGGTTTGACTAATATGACGTCATAACTTTACCCCACCGTGCAATTAATATTTCCCGCCAGTTTTATAATATACAGAGGTATCCAGCAATGACACAAGATCAAAGGTGGCATATTATATCTTGTTTTTGTCTAAATATCTCTGCTGTTGCTACCATTATCAGTAAGCTATGAAAAATTATTTTAAAGTGAGACAATTTTAATAATAATATTTCAGATGTGTTAGCAATTAGCCTCACAGTTTGATGTCCTAATTTCATTTTGCTTGCCAGTCTGGTAATTATTTTTATGCTTGTGTAGCCTGTTCAAGAGATTGTTTAATTACAAAACAATTTTCAATATTAAAAATACAATAATGCAAAAAAATAAACAGCATCGTTCTGTTCCACTGAAAATGATCCAATCATAAAGTCACAATGATAATCAGCTAAACTTCTGCATGAATTACTTTTCAATAACTGTGATCAAGTCTAACCTTCAGAAAGTGATGTACAATGGTTACTTTAACCTTAATTAATTCAAAAATTAATTTTATTATTACAATTATGCATTCCAGTGAAGTTATTCACTTGCTCCATCGTTCGTAGAGGCACCTAAAAAACCAGAAGATGATAAAAGTGGCCCAATACAAAAGAATCTATATTTTTATGAGTGACAAAATAACAACATGCTTGTACTAATTGACTTAGAAAGGCCATCATCAATCTTTCAGATTTCATTATTCCATATATACACAAATGAATGTAACAGCATTGTTTTCAAATTGAGATTTTTTGTACAATTAAATGAAATCATGCACCATCATCACATATCCAGATAAAAAAAGCAAATAGATAACAAAATGAGCAGAGCAGTTATACAAAGTAGACAGTATGGACAATTATTGTACAAGTATTGTGTATTATTATTGTTACCTTAGCCAATACAACTATTACGCAAACTTCTAGATATTGAGAAAATAATAAAACTACAAAAACCAGAAATAGTGGTTCATTATTATTTAACTATCAATTATCCTAGAATGAACGACATAATTTATTGTTGTTCATAAGTGTGTGTCTCCAAAAACATTTTTATAGGAGGAGTACTTCACAAGCTAGCATTATAGGAAACATACAAGTATCCATTAATGGCTAAAACTTAAACTTAAACAGAGCATTGAATGAATCAGAACTATACAACATGCAAAATGGTTTTTGAATTGAGCTACAATAGCTTCATTGTGATTGTTTCATAGCACTGATGATTGTATAAAATCAGTTTCATTAGTCGCAAGTCATAATTCTATATAGTATTTGCTGCATTGATAAGGTTTTAGTTGTGATATCTACACTCCTAGTTTATTTATTTTCATACATGCATGTTACCATGTACAACTTTACACGAGTTGCGTTTTTCTCCATTTGTAGTAAGTTCATGATAAGTACAATAGTCATTTCTGTAGCACAGTGCATTTCTACTTATTCATTTATGTTTATTAACATGTATTAATAGAATGCGACATGCATTATGGTAAACTTTGTGTTTTGCTTTGTGAGCATTTTTACAAGCATCAGTCCACCTTTTTCAGTGTGTCTAGCTACATGTAGATTTACGTGTATCAAACTTAGTGTTATATATGTGTGTACTTGAATAGGTCTGTAAAAACTTGGTTGTGAGTACTACTTCTACAAAGTTGACTAGCTCTACAATCTTTTGTTTTTAAGTTACTGTATTTTTCCATGAGGTTGTAATGATAAATTGTTTATAATTTTAATTTTTAATAACAATATTTATTGTTACTATAAAAGGTTAATTCATTATTATTGTAAACAAGTTCTCAATGGCTGTACACTACAAATTAGAGCAACAGAGTGGACCTGGAAGGCACATAAGTGTACATTAGATTTTCAACAAAAAATAACTATAACTAAAGCAGCTAACCAGCATGCAAAGAGCGAAAGACATGC